GGTTATACCCGATAATCACGCCGCTGACAGTAGCTCTCATCGGCCCCCACCGAGCTTCCCGGTAGGTCGGACCTCGGCCAGGTTCACCTCGACCCTCATACTTAGCATCTGTCAACGCTAGTGGTGGTGATCTCGGCCGTCCGAGCTGGGCATGACTCATGAGTCATCTTGGAGCACCAATAGAGGTTCTCCATATGTCCAGGGTATTCTCTTCCCCAAACAAGTTCCTATTACTATATATATATATATATTTTTTTCTTGCAGAATATAAATAGAATCATTATTTTATCCTTCTTAACTAATAATAAATATTACATAAAAAATTTGAATATTTAATTGAAAATTTAATTTTCATAAAAATGTTTAATTTTTTATTTTATTTAAAGTTTTAGAGAACAAACAAAAATAGTTATAAAACATTTTCATATTTTTTTAGGTAAAAATACACTTTTGTTCCTTATCACTTATGGTAAGTGTCAATTTGGTCCTGAAGGTCTCTAAATACGGAAGATAACTCTAATAATAGAATAACAAGCTAACTATAATACAAACTAATCGCCAACTGACTATTAACTCTAATAATAGAATAACAATAACAAGCTAACTACTTTACAAATTAATCGCCAACTGCCTATTATACCTAATAGTTTTAGTTTTAAATTAGACATTTTTAGTCTGTAAAATTTAAAATAAATATCTATTTAGTCCATAAAATTTTAAAATGAACCCTTTAATCCACGGAAGTTTGAAAAATAATTCTAAAATGTCCTTTTGAGTTACTTAATTCCCTTCTTATATTGAAATCAACACCACTCTTAAAAGTTATTTTACTATGCTTTGCAATTTGTTTCCTGCACCCACCCATTTTCTTTCTCTGCAAATCAAATCCTTTTTCTTCTTCATCAATTCTCTCCTCCAATTTACATACCCAATTTCCAATTTCTCCCAAATTCTCTATCTGTACTCACTACTCATGCCTTTCAACGCCGGCGACCACCGCAGGACCGCCGATACTAAATTTTGTTACTACAATAACTACAATTCTTTAGTTGTGATAACTCTTTTAAAAAATAAATGAATGATAGAGAAGTCTAGAAAATATATTATCATATCAGCGCCACTCATTTCAATATTAGTCAACTAAGTAACTCAATGACCCTTTAGAATTATTTTCAAATTTGAGGGACTAATTAAAAATGTATACCTTGAAGCTTCAGGATCAAATAGACATCTAGCTTAAACCTCAAAAGTGTATCTTTTCCTTTTTTTTAATAATAATAAAAACAGTTACCAAATGGTGTTATGGGATGCACACAAATGCTGGGCACACGAATTGCAATTTCAAATCATGGTCTCAATTCTAGGCCCTACCTTCAGTACAATATCCATATATTGTACAACCAATGACAAAACAACGACCAGGAAGACCAATATTTCCAACTAAGAGGTTGTGATTGGTTAAAATTGTATTTTGGGTTACTTTCATCTTTTTTTTATTCATTTTGGCAACGTACTTTCAAAATGTTTATTTTGGTTTTTCTACTTTTAACTTTAGTTCATTTTAGTCTTTGTACTTTCAAAGTATTCGGTTTGGTCCTCGTACTTTGAAAAAGTGACCATTGTGGTCCCCATTAGTAAAATTATTCTACATGATAGAAACTCTTTAATATAAAGTCAATAAGCGTGAAAGTAAAATTAAGAGACCAATTAAACTGGTCATTTTAAAAAAATATAGGATCCAAAACAACCATTTCGAAAATACCAGGACTAAAATGAATCAAAGTTGTAAGTACATTGATCAAAATTAACATTTTAAAAGTACAAGAACTAAAATTAGCCAAAGAAAATACAAAAACCAAAATAGTATCTTATCCTTTGAAAATTTAGGGGCCAAGGATAGTCCTCAAATTATATCTTACTAAAATATTTAACGTAAATCATTTGATTATTTTATAATTCACATATATATATGAGTTCAATAATTAAAGTGGTAGGGACTCGAACTATCAACCTTGAAAATGATATAAAGACGTCTTATCCACTTGAGCTATATTCAAATTAGCATATAATTATATATTTTAGGTTAAAATACTACTTTGGTTCCTCTACTTTCAGCTTTGATTCACTTTGGTCTCTATAGTTTTAAAATGTTCATGGTTCTTTCTATTTTCAATTATTGTTTATTTTAGTCCCTGTACTTTCAAAATATTCATTTTTGATCCCTATACTTTTAAAAAAGTGATCGTTTTAGTCCTTTAATTTGACTCTTAATCTTATCTATCACAATTTCAACATTACATTAAAATCAATATATTTCTTAAAATGTAAACATTACTTTATACTAAAAGTTTCCATACAAGTAAAATTTGTGTTAAAACTTTACAAAAAGAGACGAAAATAATCACTTTCTAGAAGTATAATGATCAAAATGAACATTTTCAAAGTACATGGACTAAAATAAACAGACAAGGACCAAAATGAACATTCTGAAAGTACTAGAACTAAAATGAACGAAATATCGGGACCAAAATAATATTTTAACATATATATATATATATTTTGCAAAGGTATTTTAACCTATATTTTAATAAGGTAATTTTACACCAACAAAAGCTGTTGGATTGTCAGCCGCCTAAAATCGTATCGAATTGATGTTGGGCTTGGGCCTTTAGTAACAATGAAATCTTGAGTCCACTGGGCTGTTTTAAATTGGATGGGCTGAATTAAAAAAAAAAAAGATTTTTCTTTTTACATTTTTACCCCTATTAGTAATCTATATAACGAGAATTTCCTCAATTTTTTAGAATATTACCTTACAAACAAGAGGATTATTTTTTTTTTTTTTGAGACAAACAAGTAAGAGGATTTGAATTTTGAATTGTATTAGAAAAAAGAGAGAGAGAGAGAGAGAAGGATTTAAAGAATCCTATATTTTTAATCTTTCTAGATTTAAAGCTATGCTAATTTGCTTTCTTTTTTCTTTTTCTTTTTTTTTTGTGAAAAGGAATAAAATTTTCATTAATAAAAAAAATAACTTCATTAATCGGTTATCATGCTCATTACAACTCTCTTTAATTTGTGGTTGTTTTTTAGCCATTCTATTTCTGTGAGAAAAAAAAATGAAATATAAATATATAATTTCATAATTAAAAAAGACATGTTATGGAATGGCATATAAGATTGTAAAAAATATATATAGAAAGAAAAATATTTTAGAAAAGTATAAAAATGACAATAATTATTATTTTTCTAATGCAACAATACATGGAAATGAATACTCGAACTGCTTCATGATAATTTTTTAAACAATAAACTGCCCCACCATGATTCTATAAAATTGGTCATTAGCTTCATAATCACAAAACTTACCAACTTTAAAATTATCGATCAAAATAATAGAGTATGAAACTCAATGACGAGATCTTGATATTGGATTGGTTATAGCTAAAGTTTAAGAATTAAAATATAATTTTCAAAAGTTTGAGAATCAAGATTAAATAAATATAAAATTTTAAGGATCAACCAAAAAATTCATTTAGTTTAATCCATATATACTTTAAAAAAACTATTAATAATACCAAGTGATGGAGAATGATTCATAGAATGTTAGGTGGTAGTTAAAAAAAAAGTTTGGAAGTCAAGGAATAAAGTGTGCTTCTAAAGCCTCTTTATTTTTAATCCAAAAGCAGATCAAAGAGATGAAGAAAAAAAATTAATATAAGTTAGTATTTAGTAAAGGTTTAGAAAAAAGGAAAAAAGAAAAAAGAAAAGTAGGTTTTTGAGGGAAAAAAACATAATTTTGAATTTAAGAAATACCAAATAGATCCTTTGGATACTTACAAATATATAAAATAAATACCAAATATATAAATATTTTTCTATAAATGAAATTGCATACTTTTAAACGGCCTACGTGAACCGCATTCAGAAAATAAAACGTGAATTCCGTTACGGAGTCACCGACACCATCCTTACCGTACGATTTCTCCAATTCCCATCTCCAATACTCCCACCTTACTATTTCAGGCACGTGACATTCAACGATTAATACACCGTTCCACGTGTCCTTCCAAACCAATCATTAAGCGCGTTTTTATCCGGCGACCTCGAAGCGCGTGGAGACCATTGTACTTCTTCTCGAGGTTCGGAATTTTTTAAATGCGGAAAGGAAAGGGAAACTGTTCCCTCCCCGTCACCGACAGCTACCGATCCGGGTTTTCAGCACAGGCCTGCCCTTTTCATCTTAAATTACCTTTTTGCCCCTTCTACTTGGTTTTAATTTAAGTAATTTCCTTCATTATTTTGTTAAATCCTTTTCTTTAAAAATATAACATTGTTTTTTTTTCCCTTTTTTCCGGATTTGACATCGTAATGGTAGGATGAATAAAAATGTGACGACTTTTTTTTTTATTCTTTTTTAATAGAGAAAATATCTATTTTTCTACCTTTTCCCCTCCCCTCAAAAACTGGTTTGATGGATAAATATTATAAAAAAAATATATTCTAGTGAGCGCATATTTCTATATTCATCACTATTAAAAATTTAACAACTTATTAATTTTTTTAAAAAATTTTTATTTACGCATTTTTTTTCTTATATCAATAATTTAATAGTGGTAAACCTATGCTAAATTCTGATGCGTTAGCGCTAAAGTATTTTCTATATTACATTTACAAATAACCAAATATAATTAAAATTTAAAATAAAATTAATTAGACCAATTAAGACATGTATCAAATAAAAACTTAAAAAGTAGTCAAAACCAATCTAAAATAGTAATAGTAATTTTTTGACATGAATATAGATAATACATTACTTTATTTTCTTTCTTTCTTTTTTTCTTTTCCTTTTTGTGTGTGAGAAAAAAATGGAAACAGGGTCTCCATCCACGTTGTTGTAGTACAAGTTAAAACAGTAGAAGCAAAGCAAGGAATTTGTTTGAATTTCTGTACATTTTCTCGCTTTTTCTCGGAAACCAAACAGATACATCAAAAGAGATTTCAAAGCCAAAAAAGCTTTCTCCCCTCTTCTCATCTCCTAAAACTTCATAGATCGCCATCGTCTAAAAGTATAACATTAAACTCTATCACATCAAAAACCAAAACAAAGCCAAATAAAAACTATGGAAATTTTACAAAATATAATCACAAACCCCGATCCAAACCCCACAAACAACAATAATCATCAAAAAGTCACTGATGATTACATCACACAGAGGAGGAAATCGATGAACCAGAAGAAGAATTCTTACAAAATTTCGCCCCATTTCCCTGCATCGCCTCCACCACGAAATGCCCCAACGAACCCACCGATTCCACCAAATTTTCAACGCAGAGAAATTCGTCACTGTAAATCCTCTCAGCCTCGCGCCCCATCTCGTGCACGAACACGTGGGTTTTCGTTTTCGTTTTGGTTTTCCGGTTCCCAGTACATTTGCTTCTGGCCAGAACTCCGGCGGTGAAGATCGCCGACATTCTTCCCGGCGACGCGGCGCTGTACCCACGCGGCCCGTCCACCAGAATCACATCCCAGGGGACTTGGTAAATGTGGTTCGGCAAGTCGTTGATTCCGAGTTTGCACTCGGAGAAGAGGAGATTCTGGACGGGCCGGCACTCGTTATCGGCCTGCGATTTAGCCTGAACCAGAAGCTCCTTCATCTGGCTGACTTTGGTCGTGTATTGGACATCGTAGGCCTCGGAGCCGGGATTCGATTGCTCGAATTTGGAGACCTGGAACTCGTTCTCGTCGAGGAAGACGGTGGCGCCGCGGTGGTTGAGGGCGCGCCAGAGGAGGGATTCGTGATTGAGGCCGAAGATGAGGAAATTACAGGCCGGAGAGCACGGGGCGAGGGCGGCGGCGATGGAGGAGAGCTCGCCGGAGGTCATGTGGGGCTTGGTGGAGTTAGTGTCGGCGGCGGCGTAGTGCAGGAGGGCGGCGGAAATCGGGATGGGGAGGGGGGAGGCGGCGGAGGAGGTTCGGCGGGCAGCGGCGGAGGAGGAGGAGGAGGAGGAGGAGAAGGTGGAGTTGATGAGGGTGAGGGTGAAGGCGAGAGTGAAGAAGGTGAGGAAAGAGAAGAGGCAGCGGCGGGGGGCGGCGGCGGCGGCGGTGGGGGTGGAGAGGCCCTGCTTGTGGATGGAGGGGTGGAGGAGGATGAGCTTGGCGTTGGCGGAGGATTTCATGGCCTCGGGATTTGAAATTTGAACTTTCAACAGAAAAATCGAAAATGGAGGAACACGGAGAAATTTCGATTTGTTTTTAAGGCTGGGAGCCAGAGAGAAGACGACAGTGAGAATCACGGACTGGACTCGCGCGTGGGGGTGAGGTACAGTACAAATCTTTAGGGCAATGGAGTGAATGAGATAATAAATGATTTGAATTCCTTTTTTTAAGCAAATATTAGATGACTGAAATTAATTCTTTTCACAAGAAAAGATTTCGCTTGATTATTATTTTTTACAAAATCACGTTCTTTTTTTTAAATAATAATGTCTTTATACCATATTCTAAAAACTTTCAATATTTCAAAATTTAATTTTTCTTTTTTAATTCAACTTGACGGAGATTTGAACATATCATCTTACAGTTAATAACATACATCTTAATTAATTGAGTTATGTCGAGACTTTTTAAATTGAATATTAAATTTGAATCAATGGTAAACATAATACCTTTCCTCAATTCCAAGACTAGACATAGTTCAAACTCAATATTGAAAATATCATAATCTAATAAGAAAATCAAGCATGTACAAAAATATCCAAACTTAGATTACAATTATCCCAAATGATTACGAAGAAACAATTTGTACCCAAAAGAGAGAGTTTAGCATGTTACCATAATACTCCTAGGTAGCACATAAAATCTAAAATAAAATGAATAAAATAAGTAATTACTTTAGTTGAAGATGTTTAAGTCGTGCTTAAATTGAGCATTTAAGTATTTTTTTAAGTTAGAATGGATCTATTTTGAGTCCATTATGAAGTAGAAATTAGAAAGTAGAAAAAATTTACTTTATTTTTGTTAAACCATACAAACCAGAGTGCCAAAAAGCACGATGGAAAGAATGTTTAAAGATCCATTCGGCATGTTGTTTGATCTAAGGAAATGTTTCATACTTTAGACAAACATGATTGCATTTCTTTCCAATGTTATAATTGATTTGGACTATCAAATAAGTTTTAGGTTCCACTTTACTTAGAAGTCAATTTTTTTTTTAATTTTAGGTATTTATTGCATTAATTTTTTATTAAAATCAAACTAAGAATTTGTTACATATCTTTTATTTGTTCAGTTTAGTGTATATATGACTGAAAAAGTTATGCTTTTGTCTCTATAATTTCTTCATCTACAATTTAAACTCCACTATGAAGTTCGAATCAAGGAGGATGACAAATGCTCAAAACTTGGATATATCTCTTCACAATAGTATGATATTGTCTGTTTTGGATATTAGCCGGCTTTGCTTTTGGTTTCATCCAAAAAGCTTTATACCAATAAAGATAATTGTCATCATCTATATACCATGTATCAGGCTCATTCCTAGCCAATGTAGGACTTTCTTTGCATTCCCTTACAAACCCAACAGCACGCACAACCATATGATGTATTCATTAGTTAGGCTAGGAGAGACAATCGAGTTATTTTGTCTATTCTTTGGACTTATACATATCTACACCATAAGTCCTTACGTTAACATGACACTTTTTGTCTAATAGTTCATTGACACATGTTAGTCACTAAATTGCCCCCAACATAAGGAACTAAATATGATAAAAACTTAGTAACGACTCAAACAACTCATTAAATTTGACTAAATCATAAAGACCAAACTAGAAATCAAAATAATAAAAAATTCAAGCATAAATTCTAACTAAATTCAAATAACAGGGAATTGAAACCGATATCCAATCATAGAAATCGCTTATTTTAGTAATGGTAATTTTCCATTATATCATCTAATACAAACTCGAAATCTAAGCAACAAATAATTGAAAAGAAAAGACTGCCATTATTAGCTCAATTTTATTTTTGTACGAATCTTGAATCGTGAATAGTCGAGGTGCGTGCAAACTGTCTTGGACACACGGATATAAAAAAAAGCATGTAGTTGGAAGCGACTAGAATAATTTATATAAAGAGCGTAAAATAATTTTTCTTTTCACATGTGGCAACAAATTAAAAATTTTATAGAAGTGTCAAATTTAAAGGTAAGGTAAGACACAATTTATACTCTACATATATATATATAACATTTTGGAAAACACATTAAAATTTTTAATATGGTATATAGTGAATTCTCTTCTATTTTCGGTTACCTAAATTTTTAGATGCCTGATTTTTAGATGCCAATTTAACTCACATTTCAATATTATATTTGGAATTAGATACAATATAAGTAATCATGCAAAAATTTTTTTTTTTTTATTTATTTTTTTACAAATAAAGAACGTAAACTTTTGAAATTAAATTAATAATTCACGCAAAGAACAAACGTAACTTGAACCTTTAATTCAAATTATAAAAGTATCTATATTACCTATAAACAAATGGCACCTCAAAGTAATAATATAAATAATAAAAGCTTATTGACTTACCACCATGTCTCATTTATATCATTTATTTTTTGCACCAACGACGAGTAATACTTCAATCTTAGGTTCATTCATTTTTAAAATATCACAAACAACGTATCTTGATAATGGATATGTCAACTAAAAATACAATAGTAAATAGTACTGTTAAATAGTGTACGATTTTAATCAATAATTATTGTTTGCGTAGAAAAAAGAATTATATATGTATATACACATTTTTTTTTTAAAGAAATGATGAATTATATATATATATATTATTTTTTTTTTCAAAGGGAATTATATTTTATTCCAACGTAACTTGTTAATGTGATGAAATTATTCAATTAAAATGCCAAATTAATATCCACGTCATCACACCAACACATATTTCAATTCATTGGCCGGCATAGAGAAATGCTACAAAGATGGTTATAACAGTTAAATAAGACTTTTATTATTTTTAATGTATATTTTTCACATTAAATACATAATCTTGTCTTGTCTCTAGTGGAGGTAAAGTTTAAACGTATCAATTTTTTTTAAATAAATATTTCAAATCAATTCTCAATTTGATTTGTTCTCATTTTTACCCTTTATAATCTCAATGAGGTTCTTCAATTTAAAAAATTGCTAAAATTTGTCAATAAAAAGTTGTTATATCATTAAACATCATTTTATAAATATATTTGGACATAAATATGCCACTAAAATATTATTTGGCTCATAAAACCCAACTCTTCATCCACAAAATCTTGCCCACCTACCAATTCATTTTGAAGTAGCCTACTTTGTGTCAAAGTGTTCAAATACGTTAGGAAATAATAATTTAATTTAACGACTCATCAACTTTTTATTTACAAATTTTAACATATTTTATTTTAAAAAGTGAATTAATTTAAATTTTTTTATTAAGATAAGAGTAAAATTATAAAAAAAAAATTAGAAATGAAGGATCCAACTGAGAATAAAGAGAATGATGGTTAAGAAAAAATGAAGGACCAAATTTGTTAAAACATAATCCAAGAATTGTTTAAGAAAATAATTGAAATTTAAAATGACTGTTAAATCAACATTTTTCTTTTTTTGGATGAAAAATTTGCTTGCTTCTCATGAAAAGAATAAAGAGGGAAAAATAAAATTGGCAACAATGCGCAACATGAGCAAGAAAGTGTGGAAATAAGTCAAAGCAGTTTACCGGAATCGAGGGAGGGGTATTTCTGGAAATTCACCTTCGTATATTACTTTTGACTCTCAGATGCAATAAAGAGAACATGAGGGAAGGTGATGGGATTTGACCTTCTCTGTCCTTTGTTCCATGTCAGTTATCAGTTATCACCCCATTATTAGAAAAAGCTATAAATTAATTAACATTTCATTATTTTCCCGCTTCAAAAATTTAAAATAGACTAATTTATGATGGATTTGGTCATTCATCACGAAAATATAAATATGAAAATAAGAGGTTACATAAAAATTTCATAAAAATTTCAGATATATGTTTGGTACTCAATTTTAAAATTCAATCTCGATTTAAAAAATTGTTCAACTTGTATATAGCAATATATTTATAGATGAGTAGTAGTTGCCAACTAAATATTTAGTTTAATCTAATATAATATTAATTAATTTATTAACATTTTTGTTTATGCAAAGGTCTGCACAACGATGCTTTACAAACCAAGCTCGAATCCAGTCCCCGGCTCGACCTGAACACAAGAGTGGACCTGCACGAGGGGGTAAACACTCCGACGCTCAAGTCAGCATAGGTCGGACTCAGTATTTAGCTCGAGGTGAGATTCGATACCTGAGCGTGAAATGAGACCCTCTATTTATAGGTGGTGGATCCGCCAGTCCTCACGACTGACGGTTACATGTTTTTTCTCATGTCGGACCTGTCGGGTCCGAGCAGATCGAACCCCAGTCAGATCGGGCTTCGGCATGTATACTTATAGCCTTTTCCCAATGGGCGAACCCAACATCTTCGGCAGGTTCGAGGTGGACCTGGGATATTTTAATTCTTGAACACCAATAAGCGTCCTCCACGTGTCCAAGGTATTTTTACCCCCAAAAAATTTTTGTTATAAATTTTGTATAATTATTATTTAACTATGTTTGTATAATTTATAATATATTATATTTTACCGGTTTTAATTTTAACAGAAATGAAATGAGTTTATAACATGGAATAATATATTTATTAAATATTTTATCTGTTTTGTTTTAATGTAACTCTGAACACTAAAATTTCAAATTCAAAATTGGAAAACAATACAAACATAAAAATGATGCTTTCAAAAAAATTTCACAATTTGAATCATAGAATGAAAAACAGTTTTCAAAAAAAAATTTGTCTAAAACGTAAATTCACTAAATCTGGAAACGAGATATAGAGTCCAAATGGCCAACCAAACGGGGCCTTAATCATCTCTATATTTCTATTGGTGATATTATCATTATCCTGTCGCCCGCCTTGACATGATGCTTCATTTTTAGTGATTTGGAATTACCAACTACTTCTTCATTCTTCATTAATCTAGATGGAAGGAACTGTCTACCTGTCAAGAAGTCAACGTGTTTTTAATTTTAGTTTGTATTAAAAAGGTTTCATATCCATGAGAATAATTGTCAATACTTATATACCATCAATTTTCTCCCTTATCCTAATAAATGTGAAACTTTATCCGAACCCCTAAAAATCCTCCCTTAAAATAGAATACAACTTTAGTTTTGTCTCAAATAGTCATTCAAATATGCACACTCAAAAGCTTGCTCTTACCTGAAGCTACATTTAGATAGAACACAACTACGAATTGA